TTATTTTTTCTTGGTAACATTTTTTTTTTTCCCCCCCCCCCCCCCCCCGTTAAATAGATGTGGTTTACTCCAAATCACTGTTTCTGTTCCTTCTGAGAACGAAGTGCATAGACTGCTGATCTTCAAATCCTGTTCAAAGAACAAAATATTTTTCAGTTTACTAGTCCAATCAGACACACAAAATACTTCAGTTTAAAATGCTTTTTAAAGGATTTACTGTAACATGTAGAATCACTGGTTCTGTGACATGAGACAATAACAGATACTGTCTTAAATCTGTTTTGAAACAGATAAACCTCAAAAGAATATGGCACTCTTTCTATTAGTGTCAATTAGAACCAGGTTGGTTTTTAGAGTAAAAGGACAAAACCAACAATCGTCTTCTGGAGGGAATTTCTTGGACTGTCTAAACAGGCCATTAGGACCTATTTTGTTAAGAGAGACATTGTCTTCTCTGGTACCTCAGCAGACACAGCCAGCTGTTATTTATGGACTATTTTTTAGTTATTACTTTGGTATTTAAAGTCCATTTAGTTAGAGTGGGCATTAGCTGCTCAACAGAAAAACAAACACAGAGCAGTTACTTTCTTGTGGATGGGAGCTCAAACTAATAAGCCCGACTGAGCATCTGCATGCGGAGCAAGCTCAGGCACTACATCACTGTGCTGTTAAGCACATACATGGTGACAGGCTGGATTCTAGCATGGTTCATTAGCCCTAAAGTCATCAGCAGACATGTGTTGACATAGCTGAATTGGTCAGACATGTATCATCACAACCCTTAAAACTTCTGATTACAAGTCTGCAGATCGGAGAATGAATGCAGAGAGCCAGCTCAGCTCTGAGCACCACCTAAAAAGCACTAGGAGGTATAGACCTCTGAATGGATCTGCATGAGCCAGCTGTAACTAAGCAGGCTTCAATGTCAAACTACCTCATTTTTTTCCATTACCTAAAATATCCCCAACTTTCATTACCCCAATAATGGGGAGTTGATTACAAGTTCCCTCTAAAGGGAAACACCAAATTCAGTAGTTGTGGCTAGTCAAGAGTAGTATAGCCATTTCTCATCTATCTAAAAGGTTGAGTGCCAATGCAGGTTTAGATGAAAATACAGTTGAGACCGGACATATTCTGACATTGCTGTGAAGTATCTATTGCGTTTGAAAATTTCTGGTCTTTATCTCACTGTGCACTGGATGTTCTCCATATGCAGGTATACGTACAAAGTCTTTTTTGCATATCCTATAAGGCCACTCAGTGAATACACTGGTTTGCTCATCTCACTGGCAACCTATTCTCTATGCACAATTCCGCACAAAAAGGCCAACATGCCCTCTTATATCCTATTTGCAGCTACGAGCTCAAGAACTGGCATGTAAATTGCAAAACACTCTGTAGTCTCTATGCTTTAACCCATCGTACTAGAGCTGCTCAGGCATCTGTCTCTAATTAAGCACAGACAGTTTTTATGCTGAATGTGCAACAGACACCTTGATATTCAGAATTATATGCAGTAGTTCACCAGCCCAGGTTGCCAACATGCCATGGTTTACCCCTGTGGCAGCACAGCTGAAATGAAAAACAACTGGAAACTTCCCTAGCATTCTTCCTCTACCAGCATACCTGAATGTACCCGCACAAGGCTTAGTTCTCCTTTGGTATGGAGGATGCTTCACCACTGAATGCTTACTATCTAAATTAGAGAAGATGGTGTGACCCATTATAATTTTAAGAAACAGTTGCATGTTACGCAACTGAAAATGGAGCATTTTCTGACAGAGCAATAGCCTTCAGCACTGTTTTCTCTTGTTCTGGAAAAACGGTCTTGGCCTCTGCCTTAAGACTTTGATTTATCATTAGGCCAGAAATTACTGCCTTGAATAACTACAGAATGATATTAAAGACTGAAAAGATAAGAGAGGTACAGCCACTTATAGGCACTTGGTTCTCTTATATAACTATGAGAACAGAAGAGAAAATTTACAGATGTGAGCTCAAAAACCAGCAAAGCCTGCGGGGCTCACCTGGACGGGTACTTACATCAAAAGCCTCAAGAAGTTAAAGCATTACTGTATTTCCTTTTTATATCCACGTTTCACAGTGAAGGCTACTGAGCCAAAATAAGGAGAGCTTGCTGTATTAACGCCATCAGGACAGGCAGTAGGAAAAACTCCTTATGGCTCAGTGAAATGTAAGTGTGAAAGCTGAGCAGCAGTTGAGCAGAAATGCCAAGTTCTGAGCAGAAACCTTCATTCAGATGGATCAAATAGTGAACAGGATACCACAAATGCATAAATGATTTCTTGAGGAGTTGAATGCCAAGGAAAATGAGAGTACTCCAGATAGAAATATCCTCTGCAGCGTAAGATACATAGATTAATACAATGGCACATACATAAGCATAGCACAGCAGTGCGCTCCAACCCATTTACCTCAATATGGTGTTCAGCATTTCATTTTCTCTGCACGTTGTCATTTATTACTGTGCATCGCTAATTCTTCCCTTTGTTTTCTGTTGAGATCTAGCCACCTTCTGCAAAAAATTCAGCTAGTAGACAATGACCCTCTTTTCCATTAGAATGTCAGATGCTAGGAAAAACAGCGTAAGAAATGATACATCAATGCTAAAAATAAAAATCTTCCTTTTAGCACAACTTTCAAACAATAGCATAGCTCAGGGATTTAAACCTACAGCGGTGTCTGCAACACTTAGGTGTTGTGGGTTTTCTTAACCTTGTAATGTGCACCATAGTGGTAATGGGGTTCTGACAAAGTGATCCCCTGTACATTAACTTCAAGGGGTTACAAATGCTAAGTAACTTTGTCCCGTTTCCCTTCTGTGAATCAGTTGATGGTTATAGCCTCTGGGCTTCTCTGAAAACAACAGGGGATACTTCTAGGAAGCAGCCAGTAGGGGCTGATACAGAAATAGGTTCATGAAAGGTGGAGATTTGGAGTCTGTTTTGCAATTGGGTAGACTTAGAGCCATGAACCAAATGCAAGGAGAAGACCACCACCCTTTTGTAGGGTGAGATGAAACTAGAGAAGTTCCTCAAGCCTGCTGGGACTTAACGTAAATATAGAGCCAATAAAACAGGTACGATTCTGAAAAACTCTTGAGAGTAACGGTCCAGACCCTACTGCTTCAGTTGTTGCTGTTGCAAGATGCATGAAGCTACATGACCTGAAAATTGGGAAGACTGCAAATCCTGTGCCATAGACCCAATTAAACATTTTGGGTAAAGATGTTCCTCACATCTGGAAGGCTGAAATCAAAGCTGGAGAAAGACTCCTCAATGCTCACCAAGTGCTGACTCTAATCACAAAAAAGGCTTGGAGGTTGCTACTGTTTCAAGAGGAACAGACCATCCACTGATCCTGATCAGTGGAAAGCATATAACTAAGGTAAAGCAAACACATGCAGGAAGCAATAGAGCTAATTTGAAAATATGACTAGATCTACAGCATGTTACACTTAAAATCTACACACTATAATTGAAGTATAGAAAAAATAAGCGCATTATAACAGGATAAAATGCCCAAAGCATTTAAAACTATGGATACGGACGCCATACATTCCACATATTAAAAGAAAACAAAACACCCAAATTAAAAAAATTCTTCATATCATATCACATCTGAGTTCTGAATGTCCACACAGCATCCAATACATTGCTTACTTAATTTGACTATTTTTGAGTTTGAAGAAAGAGAACAGAGTTCACAAACAAGTCACCTGAAGAAAGACCCATTATCATTCCCAAAAAGAAGAGCTAACAAGGACATCTGAACATAGCTGTCCTTCTGTAGAAACGTCTGTAACTCTTCATGGACTCAATAAAAATGTAAGCTTTTAACTCTGGTCTTAAAACTAAGCAAAAGTCAGATGCCCGAGATGAATTTTCTCCCTTTCTGCACTTAATATAGTAACAGGAAGCCACCAGCTTTGAAGAAAAATGCACATTGATATTACCCATACACTGCAGACACTGATCTCTAAAACTGGTCTCCAAACCACACGAGCTACTCCACATTAATTGCAACTCTGTGAAATGGGGCAACATCACAACTTCATGCACTCACTGCTCCTGTCTCTCTTACCAACGCTCACTTACACATGGAAGTGCTGCACAGTGGGGCCACGTTTACAAGTATCTGCGCTGCAGAAAACCCACTGCACGCTTTCAAAAACGCACCACGTGGCTAGGAAGGATGAATCTTTGAAATATGCTTGTAAGAGGACAGTAGTAATTACACATTCTTGACTGTTCTTAAGAACACAAAACACACAAGTCCCAAATTGTTCACAAATTTAATGACTTACAAATCTGCACTTTTCAGTACAATGAACTTAATTTTTTTAAAAAAATTATCAAAACTTCAGCATAATAGTTCTGCTAATACGTCTATAGTTTTTAAAGAATATTTACAGAACTGTAATGAAAAAATAAGACTTAAGCACACAAAAATTTAAGCAGAAAATAGCTTACAATTAAACTGGCAATAAAGCAACTGATCAACAGAAAAAGAGGGATAAATACCGTTACAAAAAGATTCATTTTTACGTTTGCAATTTTGCACAAGCACTCCATGGTTTAGGAACCACTACACATAGACAAATCTATTAAAACAGATATCTACGCTGTATCTGTAAAGAGTTAAGAAATAGATTTTGATAATATCATAATACAGTGATTGCTTTACAAAATCTGAGCTTAAAATCTGAGTGCAAATCGCGTCACATTAAAAACCTGCAATTTCATTACTGAATTGATTTAAAAACTGGTTCTGTGACTGTTAAGACTATTTTCTTGTTCTTGCACTTGTTCTTGTGCTTGATCTTGTCTTCCTGTCCGTCCCTCCAGCAGTCCGAGTAGCCCTTACATCCTCTTCGCCAAGTTCTTCTTTAGTTTTGTTTCTTTTTCCTTTTTGTAGCAATCTATTTTCATCATTCTCTATTTGTACACAAAAAAATTAACTGTAAATTTCTATCATAAATCAAACATTTTATACAAAATTCAATCTTCAGTTACATTGTTTTTAAAGGAAATGTCCCTAATGACTACATTCCAAAGATTACATCTATGAATTCAACAAACCAGTCATAAACCCCATACTTCTGCACATCCAATATCCTTTAAGATAGATCCCTGAGGACTTACAGCTATTTCTGAAAGTAGGTTAACATTAATGAGAGCACCAAAACCAATTAGCTACCATTTTAGCTGAAATTCCTTCTACTGATATGTAGAACTAAAACAAATCCAACACCGAAGAGAAATCCTGCAAAATAATATAGTAACTGTTTTATGGTCCAGATAAAGCTGGAAAGTCAGGCTTTTAGCTGTAAAGAAAAGACTATGTAAGTATCTAGATAGCACAGAAAAGTTAAGCTGCTCCAAGAGATCAGCATCAACCCAAGCACCAGACAGAAACCGTCACTAAAATCCATGTGGGGAAAGATCACCTCCCTGGAAGAGAAAATCCAGTAGTAAAGCATCAGAAGAGATCAACCATTTGGCAAGTACATGTAGCAGTATCAGGAAGCAGGAACTGGCAAGTGTGTAAAGGAAAACAAAAGAAAACTCAATAAACGAAGACAGATACGTGGCAAAATACATGTACATGTTATATGAGGATAAGCACATGCAATAGAAAAGGGGAAGAGCCAAAGAGAAATGAAACAAAGGGCATGGTCAAATCACGATAAGGTTTTTAAACACAATTTGGCAGGAAATTCCTCAATGTGTAGCTCTAAAGATTCATTGTTATTTCCATTTGCATACATGTATTTGATAATATTTTCTAATTGCATCATGGTAGTTTTTAAGTTACATCACATCAAGCTGAAGATTCCAGGGAATAATTTAAATGTCTGCAGCAAGAGTTCTATTGGCTTAGGGAAAGCAAAACAGTAAAGGAGGAAATGGGAGACGCAGGGAACTTTTGCTGTCTTTTTAGCTCAAATACAGCTTCAAGCCCTTCTAGCATCAACTTCAAAAAACAGTTGATGACTTGTAAAGGTCCTCCAAAACCTAGACATATAAAAGCAGGAGGTTAGATGGTATTTAGGAGAAAACAAGATGAACAATGGGTGCTACAAACATGTGATTATCATGTTCTGTCATTACCACCTTCTTCTGCATGTAAGTTAGTTGCTGTATTTACTCTAAACTACAATTTATTGTTATGGATTGAGAGAGTATGTATTATAGAAGAGCAGGAAGACATTTGAATACCCCAACAGAGGAATAATACACATCATACCCCATAAAACCAATCCCTTCCACTTATATAAACAAGATGTTTTTCCTAAGATAACATAGACCCTATTTACTTAAGTCTTCTTGCTATATTGAAGAACTACTCTCCATCTATATTAAAGCATGGCAGCCCATAGTTATACTAGAATTTTGTACACATTATTGTTATATCTATAAATAACTTAGCTATACTTAGAAAATAGAAAGCAAATTCTTGCCTCACCTGATTTTAATTTTTTGGACGCTAAGTCATCTGCTGGCAACTGACATTTTCTTCTGCGAGAAGTGGAAGTTGCCTGCTGTATAGGGTTAAACTCTTTTCCTTTTCCAGACTGATTATTTTTTTCGGAACCAGTGGATGTCAAACACACATTTTGAGTTTCCGAAGTGTTACTGTTTTCTGCTAAGTTGCCGTTTTTACAGATAGAAGTAGAAGTAGCTGCCTCTGACGCGAATTCTACCTTTTTCCTTTTATTCCTCAATTGCCTTGTTTTTCCCTGGGATGAATTATTTTCTAGAGGTGTATCTTCACCTTCTTTAAGAATCCTCTTTTGGCCTCTATCTTTGGGCAAGCCAGGTTTTTGCCTGAGAAAAGTGGAACTAGTTTCTTCAGATTTGGAAGCAATCGTTTTCTTTCTGCCCACTCTTGATGGATTTTCTTTTTCAGATGGAGCTACTTGCAGAAGTACACTCTGTTGTTCTTCAGGAGTTTCATTCTTACCATCTTCTGGCAAACCTTGAAGTGAGGTAGAACTAAGAGACAGTGAAGTGACTGTTTGCCTCGAGTTCCCTTTTGAAAGATCCATTTTTTCTTGGGAAGCAGAATTTTCCAAAATCAGCTTTTTTGTTTCCCCATAATTACTCTTTCTACCACTTTCTTTTGATAAGCCCCGTTTTCGCTGAATAGAAGTACAATTTGTGGCTCCTAACAAGAGGGCAATTTCTTTCTTTCTGCCTTTTCTTAGTTGGTTTTCTTTTACAGGTGAATCAAAAGTTTCTAATGGAACATTTTGATCTTCTTTTGGAGCTTCTTCCCTACCATTATCTGCTGGCAAACCACGTTTTCCTCTAAGAGAAATGTAATCAGTTGTGTGTGATGCCAGAGCAGTTTCTTTCCTTCTGCCCCTTCCTAATGGCTTCTCTTTCACACAGGACACTGTTTCCAAAGGCATATTTTGTTCATTAATACTCTCCTCTTTATCATCAGTTTCTGACAAGCCACATTTTCTCTGAAGAGAAGACGAACTTTTTGCCTCTGCTGCTAGATCCATCTTTTTCCTTTTGTCCCTTGCTGATGCATTTGCTTTTGCCTGCAAAGTTTTATTTCCTAAAGCTAGATTTTGATCTTCTCTCACAGTCATCTTTTTATCATCACCTTCTAGCAACCCACGTCTTTTTCTGATAGAAAGAGATCTAGATGTTTGTGATGCTGCAGCAACCTCTCGTCTTTTCCCTCGTCTCAGCGGCTTGTCTTCTGTTGAAGAGGGAGTAGCTTCCAAAGCTGAATCTTGCTCCTTTACAGAAGCCTCATCTTTACTATGATCTGCAGTTAATGTTTGTTTTTCCATAAAGGTAGAACAAGCTATTTGTGGCATGGAACCAACTTGCTTTCTTCTGCTCCTCCTTACTTGTGAAGAAGGATTTTCTGAAGTCTCATGTTGACCATCTTTGTAAGTCATTCCTTTGTCATCCCCAGGTAAACTCCTTTTTCCTACAACCACTTTGGAACTAGCTTCTTCAAGTTCAAAATTAACTTGTCTACCTCTACCCCTTCTACATGCAGTTCCATTGTTTTGTGCTTGATTCTCTTCCAGGATTTCAGTTTGCTTTGGTTTAAGTATTCCCCGTTCATTTCTTGTCCGCTTTTGATGGCTATGAGCAAGACTGTCACTGTTTGCAGCAGGTATTGATGTGCCAGCTGGGTTGTTATGGTCCTTCGTGACTTGGTATGTATTCTTGATACAAACAGAGCTCAAAGAATCTTTGAGAGATTTGTCCATTTCTGTTTCTGACTTAAATTTGGGAGTAATTAGTTCTGGGTTGTTTACATCTTTGGCAAATTCATCAGTCCTTTTCTCCAGAGAGTCATTTTTGCCTCTCCTGTTCCTAGTTCTGATTGTTTCTTGTACTGCACTTCTGTTTGCTTCCAAGTTCAGAGCAGTAACTGGCATTTTGTTTGTCTCTCCAGAAGGTGAATCTGCCTTTAATCTTTGAGATGCCTCTGTTGTATTTTCCTCAGCATTTTCTGTTTCATCTCCCTGAGATACTTTAATCTCATTTTTGATGTGTGATTGTGTTTCAGTATGAGTTTCAGCTGAAGTTTCCTCAGTTTTCTGAATGTTTTCTATATTTCCAAGTGCCATGCTGCAAATGTCTGCTTTTACTTCAGTTGAGTGTTTTCTAGCACTTCTTAAAGACTTAACTCTTTTCTCTATTATCTTTACTTCAAGTTTAGTTCCGTTTTCAGATTCTTCTGCTGTGGCAGTCTCAGTATCTTTGTCAAAAGTCTGTTCATCTCTTTGTATCATCTTTGCTGATGGGTCTTTGCGAAGCTTCCTTGCTGTCCCATGAAGGTCCTCTGAAGAAGCTTGTTTAACTTGGTCATTTCTAGCTCTTCTTCCTCTTTTGGGTGGAATCAGTGGTTCTGTGTTTTCTACTTTTTTTACCCTCCTAGACCTCTTCCCTGGTGACAGAAGCATTTCTTCGCTGTCTTCTACACCACCTTCATTAGATTTGTTTTCATTTTTTTTTAAACCTGTTTGCAGTTGACAATTTTCATTTTGAATGCAACTAGATACACTTACTATCTTTATGGTTGGATCATCTTCAGTTTCTAATATGTCATTGATGCCACACTCCTGCAAAGTCTGTTTCATATTTGCAGGTTCTTTTCCTAGCACTGAAGAACCTTTGCCACAAGACTCAAGATTCTCACTTGGATGTTTTAACTCCTTCGGTTCTTTCCTTTTACCTCTTTCTGGTCTTTGAGTAGCTCCATGTGGTTCCACAAATGAAACAGTTTCAACTTTTTCCTGATCAGGGTGCTTTGAAACAATTTCTTCTTGTGTGCAACAGTTTGTTCTCCTTCCTCTTCCTTCCTTTTTAGCTACTGAAGTTGAAGTACTGATCTCTCCCATCTCCTCTTGGGTGCTCTTTTTTTCCAGACCTTGCAATTCTTTTAAATTCAAATCCTTTTCACACTGCTTTGTTGAAGCAGGATGTATTGTTTTCCGTGATCTGGCCCTTGTTGGTCTCTGGGTAGACTGGTCTTCACTAGTTGATTCCTTCTGTTGAGAATCTTCACCTTGTGAAATATTTCCTTTGTCTTCTAAAACAGATTTTTTCCCCCCATTGAAAGTTTTTACATAGAAAAGAGCACAAACAAAAGTTATACGTTACTATGCCTGATCAAAGTATCCATGAGTTTTGATTTTCCTAACAGAGTCATCTTGCTCAAACAAATCACACTTAATATTCTTAATTTAGAAATAAATAAATAAGTAAATAAATAAATAAATAAATATTTTAACCACCTCCCAGAGTAAAGGCCAGGCTTCTGACCAATGACTTTTGGTTTATTTAGTAGGTAGCATTCATAGGTTTAAGCTATGTTCTTGAAAGTCTTTGCAAAGAAAGATAATTTTAAGTGGAGACCTTAACATCCGGTTTTTTACACTGGTATGTTTGGAGATGTCAACATTACCACACCGACAAACTACTACACTGTTACTTCTACACCAATAGAATTCCAGCACCTGGTGTTCATTAGGGATGACTGCACAAATTCCACGAGCTTTGCACGCTTCGCACTGTATATTTTTGAATTTTTAAAACATATGTTAAAACTTCATAATAACATATATTACCTTGCATATTCATTATTCCTCTAGTTAAAGCAAAAGTATTTGTACTTACCATATTTATGACCAGAATTAGTACAAGGAGGTGCAGTATCTTCTTGCTTAGAATCCGTAACATTTACTGATCTGACCTAAGGGAATAAACAATAATCAATAAACACATGTCTGACAGGACAAGAAATAATGGAGCCAACCAATACCAAATTAATGTATAGTAATAGCTGAAAGAAGTCTTGTCAAATACTTTTCTGTAAAAATGAAATTAACTTAGTTTTGTAACTGCATCCTTATATTTGATATTGGCACACAAATATATCAAACTTAATACTTGCCATCTGAGCTAGTGTAGCAGTTTTTAAAGTGAAAGATAACAAACGTTGCATAGAGTTAAAAAAAGTATTAATTAAATTGGCTGAAAAGTGTCTAAATGAGTGCTCAAAAGGAATTTGGGGTATTAAAGCCAAATAATTTGAGTATTTTGTAGTGTTTTATTGTAGTTCTACACTGATGAGAACTAAGCCCAGTGATACTTGACATTTTACCTATGGATCTGGGAATGAACATAAAAATTAATACTAATAAAATTCACAAGTTACAAGAGTGATGAAGCTGTGTATTATAAGGTCAGAATGGTAACCCAGAGCAACCTCAGTAACTACTTACACAGGGTTCCTTCAAAGAAAATACATATTAACACAGGCAAATGTACAGTGATAAAGCTATCTCTATAAAATAGGCATCCATTCAGGAAGCAATGAATGAAAGACTTAGGGGCATAGTGAGCAATCAAGTGATCACATGGTAACATGTTTTGTCAAATGCTCAACACTTCTGGATGTGCAAAGAAAAACAGAGCTTAAAATTTAATCTACAGGGCATGAAGCAGTTGTACAAAACAAAAAAACCCAACCATATGCCTTGCTTATGGAAAGGAAGGCTGAGAAAGAATTTGATTACAGTTTGTAAGCAATTTAAAGGGTACTTTAAACATAACGGGAACAAATGACCAGAAAAAAAAAAAGTGCTCAGATTCAAATTTGTAATAAGCTATGTTTTCTAGCAGGGGGGCATTCAGCTGGACAAAGCTGCCAAGGAAAAAAAAGATTGCCATCTTTACGGTTTTCAAGTCAACATGAGGTGCTTTTCTAGAAGGTATCTTTTCCTCCAGAGGTTACAGGCATGACATATTTGAAGTGCTGATACACTTGGCATACAAGATGTCATACTAGGAAGCCCAAGAATTTGTTTCAACCACAGGCTTAAAAGTCTAAATACATTCCTTCCAAAAGCTAAGTAAGTATTTTACCTTAATTTCCTCTGGTATATCAAACATTTCCGTAACTCCAACATAGTCCACTTCAAAATCAGAACATTTCTGCCTGGGTTCTGCCATAAGCCTTTGCAGACCCACAAAATCATCAACTGGTTGATGCTTCTCTCTTGGAGTCTTCAGTAGTCTGCTAATACCAAACATATCTTCTATGGGTTCAACTTTTTCCTTTGGTGTCTTGAAAATACGGCTGACCCCAATCATGTCTTCTACTGGTTGATATTTCAGCTTTGGAGTTTTCTTGATTAAAGTAACCCCTGCCACATCTTTTACTGCTTCCCTTTGTTGTACTGGAGTCTTCAGCAATCTTTTAAAGGCAATTTCATCTGTAATAGGTTCCAACTCTTGCTGTGGGGTCCTCAAGAGCAGCTTGATACCTGACAGGACCTCAACTGGCTCTGGCTTCTGCTGTGGGGTCCTCATGAGCTGCTTGATGCCTGACAAAGCCTCTACAGGCTCCAACTTCTGCTTCGGGGTCTGCATGAGCTGCTTGATGCCTGACAAAGCCTCTACAGGCTCCAACTTCTGCTTCGGGGTCTCCATGATCTGCTTGATGCCTGACAAAGCCTCTACAGGCTCCAACTTCTGCTTCGGGGTCTTCATGAGCTGCTTGATGCCTGACAAAGCCTCTACAGGCTCCAACTTCTGCTTCGGGGTCTCCATGATCTGCTTGATGCCTGACAAAGCCTCTACAGGCTCCAACTTCTGCTTCGGGGTCTTCATGAGCTGCTTGATGCCTGACAAAGCCTCTACAGGCTCCAACTTCTGCTTCGGGGTCTTCATGAGCTGCTTGATGCCTGACAAAGCCTCTACAGGCTCCAACTTCTGCTTCGGGGTCTCCATGATCTGCTTGATGCCTGACAAAGCCTCTACAGGCTCCAACTTCTGCTTCGGGGTCTTCATGAGCTGCTTGATGCCTGACAAAGCCTCTACAGGCTCCAACTTCTGCTTCGGGGTCTTCATGAGCTGCTTGATGCCTGACAAAGCCTCTACAGGCTCCAACTTCTGCTTCGGGGTCTCCATGATCTGCTTGATGCCTGACAAAGCCTCTACAGGCTCCAACTTCTGCTTCGGGGTCTTCATGAGCTGCTTGATGCCTGACAAAGCCTCTACAGGCTCCAACTTCTGCTTCGGGGTCTTCATGAGCTGCTTGATGCCTGACAAAGCCTCTACAGGCTCCAACTTCTGCTTCGGGGTCTCCATGATCTGCTTGATGCCTGACAAAGCCTCTACAGGCTCCAACTTCTGCTTCGGGGTCTTCATGAGCTGCTTGATGCCTGACAAAGCCTCTACAGGCTCCAACTTCTGCTTTGGGGTCTTCATGAGCTGCTTGATGCCTGACAAAGCCTCTACAGGCTCAGACTTCTGCTTTGGGGTCTTCATGAGCTGCTTGATGCCTGACAAGGCCTCTACTGGTTCTGACCTTTGCTCTGGGGTCCTTAAAAGCTGCTTGATGCCTGACACGACCTCAACTGGCTTCAACTTCTTCTTTGGAGTCCCCCTTTTACTTCCTGATTTCACCCGAGATGCATGTTTTTCTGGAATTATTGACAAACTATCCACACTAATGTTTTCTTCCAGCACAGCTTTTCTTTTTTCAGGAGTTTTCGTGGAAATCGCATCAAACATAGACTTTAGAGATTCCTCTCTCAGAAAGCGACAAACGCCTGGACTATCTTGTTTCTGTTCTGAAGCATCTGAACTATTTAATGGTGACACCATCATCTCTCCTGAAATAAGTAGTAGATATATGTAATTTGGAAAAAGAATAAAGCAGAAAGTCCAAGCATTCTAATTGCTGTATAACTAAGTAAAATGGATTCAAACAGCTGGAGACTTCTACAAACCAAAATCCAAAAAATGTGCATCAACAATTGATTTGGTAATTAGCTTCTACAAGGCACAGCATGGATTTAAAAAAATGACTATAAAAAAAATTCTATTATTTTTCTTATTTAATCTGATATAAAAATTAATGTCCTCTGTTGTCCTAAAATTTCTAGTGGTGCAAGTTTTTTATTACAATTTCCTTTTTGAAGCAATACCAGACATAAGCCAGAAGTTTTCACATTAAAGCATATACATTTGACCTTTCCGACACCAAGGAAGAAAAAAAAAGACAAGAAATTTTTGTAAAATTTATATCATGGAATCATAGAGTATCTCAAGTTGCAAGGGACCCATAAGGATCATTGAGTCCGACTTCCTGCTCCTCGCAGGACTACCTAAAACTAAATCATATGACTAAGAGCATTGTCCAGACACTCGAACTCTGACAGGCTTGGTGCCGTGACCACTTCGCTGGGGAGCCTGTTCCAGGGACCAACCACCCTGTCAGTGAAGAACCTTTTCCTAATGTCCAGCTGGAACTTCCCCTGACGTAGCTCCATTCCATTTCCTCGTGTCCCATCACTGCTCACCAGAGGAGATCAGCACCTCCCCCTCCGCTGCCCCCCTTGAGGAAGCTGTAGCCCGCAGTGAGGTCCCTCCTCAGCCTTCTTTTCTCTAAGCTGAACAAACCAAGTGGCCTCAGCTGCTACTAGTAAGTCTTACCCTCGAGACCTTTCACCGTCTTAGTCGCCCTCCTCTGGACACACTCTAATAGTTTGATGTCCTTCCTATATTGAGGCACCCAACACTGCACATAGTACTCAAGGTGGGGGCCGCACCAGTGCAGTGCAGAATGGGATAATCACCTCCTGCAACTGGCTAGCTATGGTGTGCTTGACGCACCCCAGGACATGGTTGGCCCTTTTAGCTGCCAGGGCACACAGTTGACTCACATTCAACTTGCCATCAACCCAAACCTCCAGATTTCTTTCCACAGGGCTGCTCTCCAGCCTCTCGTTCCCCAATTTGTATGTATAACCAGGATTACCCCGTCCCAGGTGAAGAATCCAGCACTTGCTCTTCTTAAATGTCATATGGTTGGTGATTGCCCAGCTCTCTCATCTATCCAGATCTGTCTGTAAAGCCTCTCTACCCTCAAGGGAGTCCACAGGTCCTCCTAGTTTAGTATCATCGGCAAACTTACTTAATGTACAAATGTGTACACTGAATGACAATTCCTGTGTCCAGATCATTTATAAAGACATTAAAGAGCACTGGCCCTAAAATTGAGCCCTCGGGGACCCCACTGGTGACTGGCCACCAGCCTGATGTAACCCCATTTACTATAACTCTTTGAGCCCGACATGTCAGCCAATTGCTCATCCAACGTATTATGGACTTGTCTAGCTGTGTGCTGGACATTTTATCCAGAAGGATACTGTGAGAGACAGTATCAAGAGCTTTGCTAAAATCAAAAGGTGACCTTGTCATAAAAGGAAATTAAGTTGGTTAAGCAGGACTTTCTCCTCGTGAACCATGGCTGGCTATGACCAATGACTGTGTTGTCTCTCAAGTGTTTTTCAATAACTCCCAAAATAAAATTCTCCATAATTTTACCAGGCGCTAAAGTGAAACTGACAGGCCTGTAATTACCAGGGTCTTCCTTCCTACCCATCTTGAAAATTGAGACATTTGCCAGCTTCCAGTCGACTGTGACCACTCCAGACTCCCAAGACCATTGAAAAATAATGGAGAGGTCCCACAATAACATCAGCCAGCTACACTCTGTTTGCATGTGGCTTGTACTTGGAAAGACACTTTTCACAAATACTCATTATGGTCCCTGCACAGGCACTGAATTTTGGAGTTCTTGGATTCTTTTGTGTCCCACTCATTATGCATAGCAGAAAAGGATAATCAAGAGGAAAGCTTGGGAAAAAGTGAAGTGAATTTCTCTGGCTGTTTAGTGCCAACTATTTTCCTTCACTATTTCCTAGCACAGTAAGCATGAGCATTAGAACAAGCATAACCATGCTGTTGCTCAATAGAAATAGCCATAATTCCTCCCACTAGTAAAAAAGAACTGAAACAAAGGAAAGGTTATGGAAGGCCAATGGCATCCTGGCCTGTATCAGAAATAGTGTGGCCAGCAGGAGTAGGGAAGTGATCGTGCCCCTGTACTCGGCACTGGTGAGGCCGCACCTCGAATACTGTGTTCAGTTTTGGGCCCCTCACTACAAGAAGGACGTTGAGGTGTTAGAGCGTGTCCAGAGAAAGGCAACGAGGCTGGTGAGGGGTCTGGAGAACAAGTCTTATGAGGAGTGGCTGAGGGAACTGGGGTTGTTTAGCCTGGAGAAAAGGAGGCTGAGGGGAGACCTCATTGCTCTCTACAACTACCTGAAAGGAGGTTGTAGTGAGGTGGGTGTTAGTCTCTTCTCCCAAGTAACTAGGGATAGGACGAGAGGAAATGGCCTCAAGTTGCGCCAGGGGAGGGTTAGATTAGACGTGAAGAAAAATTTCTTTACTGAAAGAGTGGTTAAACATTGGAAGAGGCTGCCCAGGAAAGCGGTTGAGTCACCATCCCTGGAGGTATTTAAACGACGTGTAGATGTGGTGCTTAGGGACCTGGTTTAGTGGTGGACTTGGCAGTGCTAGGTTAACAGGTGGACTTGATGATCTTAGAGGTCTTTTCCAACCTTAATGATTCTATGAAAAAAGTCTGGTCAGAACAATTCACAGAAGATTTTAGAGGAAGTTGTATTTTCTTCCTGAAACACAATTTAGACCAAATTTATAATGCCAGAAACACTATTTCCAGAACAATATACTCAAAACCAAGCCTTGAATATTGAAAGGCTAGCCTCGCTTTGGTCCCTGGGAAAATAGTGGAGCAGGTCCTCTTGAAACACATTTCTGAGCACAGGAAGAACAGGGTGATTGGGAACAGTCAGCATCAATTTATCTGAGGAAAATCACACCTGACCAATCCAATTACCTTCCATGATAAAAAGTACAGATTTGTGGATGAAAAGAGAGCAGTAACTATTTAATGTGACTTCAACAAGGTTTTCAATGCTGTCTCCCACAATATTTTGGCATCCAAACAAGAACATTACAGGCTAGATGAATAGGCAACTGGTTGAATAAAGAACTGGTTGGATGATCAGGCTCAGAGAGTTGCAGTTAATGAGTCTCTACCAGCAGGCTAGTAACAAGTAAGAGTACTGCAGGCTGGAGGAACAGGATAACTCTAGGAGTCCCTTATCCTTAACTATAACTATGATCTCATTCTTAAAACCATCATCTCTGTTCATTTTAAAAGCATAACCCTCATCTTGAAACTAGAAATAAAGTGCACGTCTACTGGTGTCAGTTTTTAATCAAGGCTTCTAGGACCTAACAATAATTTGCCTTTGTAGTTCCTATCGTGTCAAGTCCTAACCGTAAGATGTTCAAGTCCTTCCAAATTCCTAGTCCAGCAGGATGGATTAAGAAACAAACTAGTTTTTTCAACCCATATTCCCTAAATTATGAAACTAAAGCACTTATGACATACAAAAGGATTGATGTGTATAGAATCTAAGATTAAGGACTTGCTTGCCCACCGATTCAAGGAAAGCACTGAATAACAGGATAAATAACAGCTGATAACGGACTTCAAGTGGATGAAGATCACTCTACAAGTTCTTCTTTTCAAAGAAAACACTTTTTACTGGACTCCCTTCTGAAGTTATAAGAAGGTTTGCTATACCTAAGCCTATCTTCCACAACACCTGAAATAAACCAAAATACATTTCAACTATCATTATTAGTAGTAGTATTTTAAATATTGGGGGATTTATTCTTGATTTTTGTTGGTGTTTCAGTAGATGCTCAGTTTTGCTAAATTCTCAAGAAAACAAGAATTTTAATTTCAAGAATTACGAGTTATACAGGGACACAATGACTGCTATGAAAGGTTATTAGCAAACGATGCACCATCTTAATACAAATCTTTCTAACCTGACACTTCTTTAAAAAAAATTTAAATAGACTTTTTCTGCAAGATTACACAATAACCTCTCCCTGCCATGAAACTTTGTCACTGGATTTAGATGTATCCACAGACAACTGATTAAGAAAGTGCCACGCTTCAGAACAAGATTTGCCTGAAACAATACTTCAACATTTTAAAGTTTCATACCAAATAGAACGAATAAGAAAATACCACCTACTCAAAAATTAACTGGAACTACAAAATTGTCTTTTAATACATGATAAAAATCAATGGTTCCTTTTATGGGTTGCCTGATATTTCATCTCAGTACATCAAGTCTGCCTAGGCTGAGACTACTCACTGTCTCAAGTAGCAGACACACAGCTATCCCTAAATATACCTTAACATTTCCTTTCTTTTCAAGTTAACAAACATACCAGATTCTTCAGGAGTGTGCAATTCAGAAATTTCCACTGCAGTACACGTTGGTGTAAAATCAGTCTTCTGAACAGTGGCCAAAGGTAATGTTTTTCCACTCTTATTTTCTGGAGTTTGAAACATTTCATTCATTCCTATAAATTATTCAGAGAAATGAGCATACGCTTTGACAAAAGAACTACACAGTTGGCAGAGTGAACAACAGACTTTAAAAACTTACCTGTGAAGCTTTCATCCATGTTCATGTTTAGCTTCAGGATAGGATTTTTTACCACTTTAGGGACCTGTCCAGCCATTCTTACTGTGGTGGAATAAGCTCTACCTACAACTATTGTAGCAGGTGACTCTGCATGACCTGTACTAAAATGACCTTTTATTTTTCTTTCTGGAGTCTGCAGAGGGGGAAAAAAGGGAGGGGGAAAAAAACAACCTTAGTAAACAGAGATTCCTTTTATATAAAATCTACATTTCTTATATGCTGTGACAAAGACATCAACACCCATTTAATATCATACTAAAAGCTCATAAGCTTCCAGCTTCTGTAGCGAAATACCTACAAGCTGTTTTGTGGTTATGCCAAAACAAAAAAAAAGAAACATGAAAAGAGAAAAAGAATACCTTTGGTGATTGGGTTATCTTCTTCAGTGATCTTCCTTTTTGGACTCTTTTTTTAACAGTCTTCGATTGTGGTCTTGCAACACCTAATTTTACCACTTCTGCCCAAGATTTTGCAACTAGAAAACAAAAGAGAAATAACCACTTTAATTCTCAGCCGTATAAATGGAAGTTCACAATTATTTCTTTATGATTGCTTCAGTCAGGCATAGGAAAGTGGTTGTTATATCACCTGACAACACCTATACTAAAGTGCTCTGTGAAACACTTTCAGTTGCAAGACCCAATTTCAGCTGAAGTTTAAGAAGTGTCTAAGTACCCGGTACAGCTATTTCCACAACAAAACAACAAAAAACTTCATACAGTGTCAAGTAGATGTTAGATCCTAGAACTGAATGCTGACCCAATTCTGCCCTCATTCTTTTTGCAAGGAAATATTTTTTCCGAATAGAAACTTGCCATGAGCCTTTCAGTCTCGTTCATTATTATACCTGAACTGTTCCCTGGTGGGACACAAGATTTAACATCAGAGAAATGGCTTTTAAGTGAAACACATCCAGCGCTTTTCTTTCACCAGCTTCCCAAGGAATTTTGCAGTCAGGAATTTATTTATTTATACTGCTTACAGCATTTAGATCTACACAGACTTTCCATAATTTTTCTTATGTCACCTTCTCCTTAAAACGTACTCTGAAAATTCCCAAAGCAACGTTACCTTTATCATAGCATCATTCTGTACACAGCAGAGGAATCAGGGAATTAGTTGCAGCTGTGTAATAAATGAAGCTGTAAGTTGGTAGGATATCTGCCTTGTTTACTTCAGAAATAGGCTATGTGAAGACAGGGATCATAAAAAAACCGATTATTTATTTAAGTAGAGATAAAAAGGGGAATGCCATTTCTGAAGGAAAGGGTATTATTATTCTCTTGTCAGAATTGCTGTGCAAGTTGGGGAAAGTCTGTAAATGAAAAACTTTCAAAAGCTGTCATTGCTATGGTGTTCAGGATATGTAGAAAAATGCCAAGCATGCAGGAAATTATCTGAAAAAGCATTGGAAACACAAAGAGTTTTATTTTGGATGCAAAGTAGACATCCAAAAGTTTTAAGAACTGTGGCATTCTTTTCATATTACAGAAGAAGCTGATGCACTGATATTGAAAGCCTCTTACACATTACAGAGAGGTGGTGAAAAATGGTATGTCATTAATATTTGTGAAATACTCTGGTGCTATTAAAATGAATGGAACAACCAAAGCCACTGGGGGGGAAAAAAAAAAAACAACAAACAACAAACCAAACCACTTATTTTGCTAAAAGACTAATACCACTTTCAGCTGTATTAAACCAGGCAGTATAATGATGAGACCATCACTGGGACATTTTATGTAGTATGTTGTTCAAAATTTTGAAATGACACTACAAAAAAATGGAGATAGTAAAGAGTAATAAAAATTCCTGGGTGAATGGTGATGTTGGTGGGAAGCTTTAAATTTGACTTTGAAAGAGTGAAATTGATTAAATTTACGAAAACAGACAACAAAGACACCTTATCTGTAAGTTTCTTCAAAGATAAAAATTTCAAGAACCAGAGCTCCCCTATCATAACGTTTCCAATGCTGTCAAAACTATTTCAAACCAGTGTTCAAATTCAAGTGTTCAACTTAAAAATATTCAAATTAACACCTTAGTTATCATCCTTTTTTTTAATTGTATCTGTTATATACTACTGTCAACAGTTAACTGCAGTCCATCCATGGACAAAGGTTGTGAACTAAAAAAAGGCACAAAGAAAACAAACTGAAGGTAGATTGCTATAAAGCGCACATTTTCAAATCAAAATTGATGTAATTGATACAATTTGATTTAGTTCAATACTACCTGGACTTGAAGGATCACTATTGCAACTAACCTTGCAAAGAGAACCTTAATTCTATCATTTTTCAACTTCTGAACATTAAGATTTGTGTTCTAAATACGGTTTTATATATGCTTTAGTAATTTGCTTTATCAATACGAGAGAATGTAACACTTTGCAATTCCCAGTTGTTTCCAACAAGTCCAACAACAGTCAGAAGATATGCCAACCATTTGGTGGCCTCTGCATAATGAAATAATAGGCCTACTTCAGTTTTGTTCCTATATTTTAAAGCATTAAAATTAATATTAAAAATTAACTGCTGAAACAAACCTAGTAAATTGGCACTAGAGGCACCACTTCTTCTTTTTGCATTGATAACTGCTACAGCCCCACTTCTCCTCTTCATGGGAGTGACCTTCAAAGCAAGTTGTGCACATCTTGTTAATTTGTCAGGTGTAGCCGTTAAAAAGGTTTCGTCATCTTGGTTAATGTGAGATTTAGGTGTTTTCGCTTGGGCACCATTTTTCTCCTTTGTATTCATGTCTTCTGCAACAGCATCATTCTCTTCTGCAATTGGTAATGGTGTTGTGATGTGAGAAACAGAGAAACGTCCTTTTGTGTAAGGTGCTGGAGAGCCTAAAGTAAATTTAGGTGTTGCCTTCCGAGAGGCAGGGGATGAGGCAGTCGGGGACTTCTGGGTTGGCAAATTTTTTGGTGACATTTTTTCTTTCTGCGAATGTTCAGAAAGTTCCTAGTGGAAAAAAAAAAAAAACAACAAAACATAAAGTAAATACAATAGTACAAAATATCATCAGATCATTTGAAAAAGCCTTAAATGTTATTCTCTGAAAACAAACCTTATAAGAAGTTTTAAATCTCAAAACAGTCTCAAAAGACACATGCAAATTCAATTGAATAAATTAACTGAATTTATTATTCTACTTTATTCAAAAGTTTTTTTTTCCACATCAAGTACACTACACACATTTTAACTAGTTTAAATCAACAGCAAATGTTTTCCAACTTCTAGCCAAACCACGTGGCAGTAGCTTGCACAGTCTGCCAACAAACTACTGTTCTGTTTTCTGTTATTTATGGTAAACTGGAGCTTGTAGACACTGCTGCTAAGCACAAACATACAGAAATATACTCCTGCATATGCATGAGAATGAGCAATAAAAACACACCTCCTGTATAAAGACAGGTAGATATAAAGGGTAAGCTGAGCCCTTTCCTACAATGGAGAAGTTAAAAAAATGTTGATTAAAATTTGCTGATTTTAAATACCATTTTAATTTGCAGCTAAAATATCCACTTCCCAACATACATCTAACAAGGTTTACTAAACTTTTTAAATTAATTTTTAGAAGTCTTAGAATTTATAAACCCTGTTCATATTAATTGTCTTAGCAACTTGATCAGTCTTAACATTTACCTGGACTGCAAAGTGCTTCAATCCCTGAACCTTTTTCAGAACCGCACGTGGTGAGTTTCCAAACGGTAAGCTCAGTCTTGCAGGAATCGCACCTCTTTTAAGGGGCGAGTTGGGAGGCAAACTTTTATCAAAAAGTTCTGGACTTAGATGACCACCAAAAGACACTCTCTTTCTTTTTCCTGAAGGCTGAAGTAACAAATCACCACTTTTCCTCTTCTGAGATATCCTTTTTGTCTTGCCTAGAAACAATTGAAAATATTTCCGTATATCTAAGAATCGAAGTCAACATTTTAACCAGCATAGAAAACAGTGCTTACTCGCACATTTTAAAGTTGGAAACATATCAGAAGATAACTTAAAGAGAAATTGATTCAATTGAGTAAACTTCTATTCATATTATTGTGTATTTTTATGGTCAAATATAACTACATGATAAATATTTTAGAAGCAATATGTCAGCAATGAGTTCTAAGTTTTATGTAAGTGGAAAAAATTCTCAGAAAAATGCTAAGAGAATTTCTCAAATACAAAAACAACGAGGCAGGGGACTAAACATATTTACCTGATTCTTCTCCAGCCAACAGGCCAGAAATATTCATTTCTGAGACAGCCTCATTGTCTTTCAGTGCAGTAGCACTTCCAGAAGACCTTCTCTTTGATGACAATCTACGAGGTCTTTTAACACTTGCATCTTCCAAATCTTGTTTCTGATTATATCCCTTTGTGGCCAGCTCTTCTTTAGTTCCATTGTCTTTTCTGTCTGTAGTATTATCATGATGTCCTTGAACAGCATTTGTCACCAATGCTTTTTCAGTTAGCAGTCCAGAGGTCCTTGGCCCACCCCTTTTTCTTCCAGAGTCAGATTTCTGACCAGCAGGAGATGCCAGTTCTGATATTACCTCTTCTGAAGCCAGTGTCTCTGAATGGACACTTTTGTTTGACAATTCTTTACTTTGCCTGTTATTTCTTCTGGGACTCTTGGAATTAGAAAAAGAGGCAGGAGTTTCAGAATGTCCCTCTTTTGAATTAACAAAGTTTGCCTCATCACAAATTTCTTTCAGCACTTCTTTTTGTACAGGTTTTCCTGGTGTATGTTGTTTACTATTTCGTCTTTGTTTTAAGCATTTATTTTCTGCCAAAGGCAGTTGTTTGAGGCTATCATTTCTGCACGCTGAATCTTCCCTTTGAGTTTCAGCTGAAACTTCTGAAAAAGACTTACATTTCATTGACACACGTCGACGAGTTGTTGGAGTATCAGTACTTACAGGAGTCATTCCGCTAGTTTCTTCGGTAGGCAACATGAAATGAGACCGAGGACTCTTCCTTCTGGGCGTTGGTGTAGACAGAATGTTTTTATCTACTTCAGAAACATTTGTCATGTTAGTTGTTTGTGCTATTTTATCTACTGCTATTGCAGAGCTGAATATTTTCTTTTTATCTGCATAATCCAAGCATTCTATAGAGCACGGCTTCAGTGAAAATGCTGCATTTCCATCATTCTCCTTACTGGGTTTGGTTGCAACTTCAGTATCTTTAGATTTGCCTGCTGTACTTAGTTCCTTACAATCCTGCAAGTGACTTCTTTTACCAATATCTCTTGACATCTCCTTTGAAACAGAAGTTTGAGGACTTCTGGTAAAACTCTTCTTGGTAGCACTTCCTACAGCTGAGATCTGGTTAAATTCTGAACTGATTGCTTCTGGCTTTGTTTTTATTTTACATTCTTCAGTATTTTCACTTCTGCCTATCTTCTTTTCTTTAGTCAGGCTTCCCAGATCATAAACACAACTTGATGATGAAATTTGAGCACCTGGTTCTAGCAGAACACTCTTACCATCTTTTGCAGCTTGTTTAGATACATTTTCCTCTTGCAAAGGTTTTTTCACTTTAATCTCATGTTTCAGTTTTTCATAGAGTTTACTAAAGGGAGACATTTCATTTTGTTTTTTACTAGATTGATGTATTCTGTGTGAAGATTTGGGTGTTTGTAGTTTGACGGGTAAAGCTTTGGAAATATTTTCCTCTGTACTTTGTTTGTTTTCATTGGCATTTTTTTCTTCACACTCAGCATTATCTACAAAGTAAGCAAAACAAAACAAAAAGTAATACAGATGCAGAGTTACTTAAAAATTGCAGAACTACAAATATGAGTTCCAAAAACACAGATAAAAATTCCTTCCTTTCTTCTCCCAGGACAGTCAACCAGGGTCCAGGATACAGTACTGTAAATAAAGCTCTGTTAACAATAACAATTTCTCTCATAATAGAAGCATTAGTTTCTAAATGTTTAACATAAATTTTAAGTTGTAATCTGGAATTTATCCCATATTCAGGTAAGGCACTTGGTATTTCACGCTTTTGTTTTTCTTTGGAATCAATGGCTCACATACATCTTTCAGGGCTGCCACAAGACAAATCTATGAGCATAGACTTAAACAACCATTTAGATCAGCTTACCACAATTCAATCTGGCTTTTGTCTTGCGTTTACATAGGTGCTGTATTGCTTGAACTGTGGCAATGCTTCTTTAGGGTAAAGCCAGACAATAAAGAGCTGCCACTTCCCGGACAAGACATAGCAAGTGACTACATGCGTGCTGCCATTCCACTGTAATCTGTAAACTGCATCCAAAGAAGCTTGAGGTAGCATGCTTCACTTTGCATTTTCCATGAGTGAGGGGTATATGCCAGCTAACAGAGTTCATCTGATAAGAGGTGCCTTTTTAAGCCACAGGAAGCTGAGACCTCGTATACATCTACAAGGTCTATTTCTCAACTCTACTTTATGTCAGCATGAACGCCTGCCAAAACAAGTGCTGATACATGTTGACTTCTTTTAATCGTGATGGGAAATAATCCATGTAAAGATGAGGGTAGAGACTGAGATACAAGGAAAAGCCTGTCAATTATCTTCTGGGAAAAGAAGTGGGGGGGGGCGTAAACAGAAACATGGGAAAGAACAGGAAATTAGATCTTTCTATGAAAGCTTTTACCCAACTGCAGACAAGTACATCAGTATTTTTTTTACTGAGCTGACAATTTGTTCCCTTAAAGTAGGTAGAACAATGAAGCAAAGACTATTGTATCACAGGACAGTGTTGGGGAACCTATCGCCCAAATCCTGCGAATACAGATGCGCTCACAACAACCCACTGAAACGGGACACACTGAAACAGCCTGGGTTTTTTGCACTGGAACAAACATTTGTCACAAAAATCAAACCTGTCTGTAGATAAATACCCTCTATCTAACAAACCTTGTATCTTCCCATGAAAGTAGCGTTACTTAAGACAAGAAGGATGGGAAGGTGAAGTCCTGGCATTTAACCAGTCCATGGTCTATAACTACCCAGACTTAGTAGCTCTAGATTTTTACTGGGTCTACATGAAACAGCTATTGTAAACTACTATTTCAATCAGCAAAAATTAACCCTTCCTATATATCTCCAAAATTATACCCGTTTCAATTTCTTATTAGGAAAGCATACATGAGATAATGCAATATTTGCTCAAAAGGGATCTAGCTGTATTCTAGGTCAGCAGAGAACTGCAAGTTAAATTTTAACCACAAGAGTGAATTTGCCATGTTATACTTGTTTGATGCCGCTGAAAAGTAAAATGTAATAGGTAATTGTTTCACGTATCAGTTTCAACCGACATTTGTATTGCATTTGCAAAGCTGGTGTACTGAACTCCCTTCTTCGCTATAATCTTCATAAACTGAATTTGCACAAATCACGTAAAGCAATATATATGGATTTTGCCAGTTCCAGGCTAACTGTTACTGCCCATTTGTCAGGATGCAATTAAACTGATTTCTCCTGGCAGAACTTAACTTCGGTAAATCACAGCATCCAAGCATGATGAGATAGTACACTGACACAGCAAGGTGTATTGTACTCAGATTGAAAAGTCTTAAAATACATTTCTTTTGCTCTTTTCAACCTTGTTTTTCCTCTTACGTCAAGAATAAATGCAGTTAAGGGGGAAGAAGAAAACACCCCCCCCCATAAAACAAGTACCAACCTGAAGAAAGAAGACTTTTAGGTCCTGAAGTTT